ATGTGGAACTAAAGGAGTGATGTACACCTTGAAATGCCCCTGCAATCTTGTATATATAGGCAGAATAAAAAGAGCCCTGAAAGATAGAATTAAGAACATGTATACAACATTAACAGAGGATATAAAACAATAAAGACGCCAGTCAATTACAGTTTTGGGGTATAGAAAAGCATAATAATTATTGGAGAGGAGATAATAAAATCAGGGAACTCAGTAAAAAGGAATCGAGGTGGATTCATGAAATGAAATGCTTGGCATTATTGGGTCTCAATAAAGAATTTGATCTCACATGCTTTTTTAGCAACATTTAGTACTATTTTAGTACATAATGGGAGTAATTTAAAATTAGGAGTGTCAGTATATATATTATACTTTTTTTATTAAGGGTAAACCAATTTTTTATTTTTATTTAAAATTTTATTTTCATGTTTCAATCTAATATATAATTTTTATTCACATTGTATATGGTATTGTATAATACATCTATATTCATACACATGATTTTTGTGTACTGAATATTTTTTTAAATATAATTTTATATTTTATAGTTTTTGTCCATTCCCCTTCTCTCTCTCTCTCTTTTCTCCCCCCCCCCCCCTTCTTTCTTCTTTTTTTCTGCTTTTTTTCCCTGTTTATTTTTTACACATCTTAACCAATACTAAATAAATGATTCGATTTCTAATTATGTACAGATAGCATATAATCACATTGTATATTATTTCCATTCCGGACATGTTAATGGCAGTAGTGATTAACGCTGTCGACGTCCAGGCAGAGATGGTGTGAATGTTATATAAGGATTTAATCAACAATGCTCAACTTAAAGGAGATTATAAACAGTGCTATTCTGTATTACGCTGGTTGTGATAGAAGTGTAATATACAGTGAATGAAGCAATATTAGCACTGGTTCAGCATTTAGCACACACATAGAAGACTATGTGGGTTATCCTCACATAGTCTTCAACAAAATGGCGCTGAGACATCTTCTATATAAATAGCATGAGTGCCATGCAGTCCAATCATTCTCCCTGATGAAGCCACGTGACCCGGGCTTTGACGTCACAACACTCTACAGATCTAGAGATACCAGCTGGCTGCATACAGGACAGAATCGGTAGTGATATTGGAGACAATTACTATGCATAAAGTGCTTTTACATACTGCACATGTGAGTGTAACATGTTAGCACAATAAATGCTTTTTATAAGGATAAAGCAGAATATGTTCTATTTCTTTTTCTTGACATTGTAACCGATGGAGGAAAGCAACTAGAGGAGTGAAGGGGATCCAGATCTGTTGGATACCATTCCCATCCATACATGACCCATTACAGGGACACAAGCTTTATATGACCTCACTTAATGGTCTAGTCATATATCTAAGGTGAGCGCACAGCGGGTGGGGGTGCACAAGTGTTGAATAATTACAGTCACCAAAGGTGGACATAGAAGCACTTGACATATTGCACTAAAGTGATTGAAGATAACCAAGGTGTTAATAAGGACATTTTCTTATATTTTGTTGGATTCATTTAATTTTTGCACTAATGTTTTAGTTTGTTAAAATTTTGAGTGGAGCATGGCACATTTTTGATATTTTATTACCACTGGCACACTTGTAATGAGTATGTGTTTAGTGCAAGCGATCTGCTAATTGAATAACATATTTTGTACAAAGTATTTTAGCATAGCAGCTTACAAGTTTTCGTTGTATCTACATAAAAAACCTTATTTTCAACCGGTTAAGTGGTAAATTACAACTACATTTCCAACCTATGATTACTCATAATTATAATGTTTTGAAGCAAAAATGTAGTAGAACACATGAAGCAAAATGACTCCTCAGCTGGATAGAAGACATCGTTCAGTGCTGCAAATATCTATGCTGTAGCCAGCTGCTTCCACATCTACTATGATAGTCCTCTCAATAAACAATGGGTTAAATATACATCCTCCCTTTTCCAACCCAAAATTATTATATCTGAGTGACCTATTAGTAGTTTCAAGAACTGTCACATTGGTGGTGGGGGGATGTTAACATGGAATAAAATTACTGTGCTGCAGAGGTTGGGGTTTCTGTCCATCCACAGTTACTTTGCATTGCATGACTCCACTGTAGATTTGCTTTGTAAAATACAATACTCTAGACTAGCAGCTTTAAAATAGATTGCAGTAGAAACATGGCCTGCATACGTGTAAATACAATTCACAACCATGTTTAAAGTAAAGGTCATTTAAGAAGTAGTAAACTGTATTAGTACCAGTGCTTTGTATATAAATACCCATGTAAATTATGTCACTGAAAGTGATTTTGCAAAGTCCATCCTGATGCAAAAGTTGCTTTCCCATACTTATTTCAGAAACTGGTAGGACTGCTACCACCAACACATACTTCCAAAGTATTGTTTGTTCTGTACTCAGAGAATACTTTTTTTTTAGACATTACATGACTGTCAGCATTGCATATAGACCTGGTAATCCACTGAGTTGGTTGGAACCAATTCCCACTGGAAAACTATGCCTTATTTTCAAAATTCTTATTGTAAATAATCCTATCTTTGGGTGGAGGTTAAACCTATTTTCCTTTAGGCCAAGGAGTGCCCTTGTGTATTAATGAAGATATTAAAGAAAACTATTTTGTACTGAGGTTGCTATATGGATCATGTATGTATTTATTCAGTGTGATCATATCCCCCCTTGATTTTTCTTCTCCAGAGTAAATAAATTAAATTCAGTTAATCTTTCTTATAGCAAAGAATATGCCCTGTATTCATTTAGTTGCCTTTTTCTGCACTCTCTCCATTTCCACAATATACTTTCTATCCAACTAGGACAAACAAATGGCTTAATGCAAAATCAACAAAATTAAAATGACTTTTACATAAAAATAGCAATATATACATTATCTGTATAATTAAACATGAATAACAGTCAGAATTATTGTTTATTTACATTATAATTAACAATATGGTTTAAGATAGAGATTAGCAAATAATAAAAAATTGTGCTCCCCTTTTGATTGCAAGTTTTGTTCACAAAAACCTGCTCCACAATTTAAAAAACCTGCAAAATGATTTATCAGGTGTTTTAAAGGCCTTTCTTAATGGAAGTATTGTCTTGGAAATTCGCCTTTAACTAATTTTTCCTTACCGTGAGTACCCACAGTTGGGGGCGCAGCAATCCCCCATAAAGCTGTGCGAATTTCGCTGCAGCCGTATTACGCCCTCCACTTACCGCGACTGCAGCTAAACTCCACGATCCTGTGCCTCCAACTGGTTTAGCTCTCTTGAGATGTGGGGAAAATGGAGCTCCCGTTACCCAGGAATGATCACACGACACTCTCAGGTTGCAGTTGGAATTCACTCTGAGACTGGGTCTAACCCCAGACTCTTGTTTTATTAAAAGCACACACACGCCCCCCCACATGAGGGTCAGGTCAATCCCCTCCCACAGAACAATGTATGGGGAGTGTCCATACACAGAATGAACATCCTGACTGGAGCGTAGGCTTTCCTCTTATATATACTGGAAGCCAGTTAAACCAGTCCTCCCCTCCCCCATAAGCTCTCTGTGGAGAGCAAGCTTCCCATCCTTTACATGCTATCAGCTCCTAGTAGTATATTCACTCATCTGTACAAGCATCCCTTAGATTAAACAGTGCCAGTCTGTATCTGAATGGGCCCGATACGATCTTTATTAAAAACACATCCATCCAGATACAGTTCAGGTCGGTAGTGGCTTGTAAGATATACATGAGCCTACACGCGGAGTTCGCACTGTCCGGCACCTGGTCATACGAAGTCCATGTGGTACTATGCTGCTGATATGTGGATACAGGCCCGCGGCCTACCGCCGGCGGCATTCGCATTGAATTTCGGCGGCATTTTGCATCGAATGCCGTGGTGGTATACACGCCGGTCTATAAGCGCAGATCTGCCATCTCATCCATTACCGAGCTGAGAACTGTAATATATACATTGTACATGCGCATGGCCTAATTGCAGCCTTCAGAGCTTTAATTAAGCCACACGAGAGACATATGAATAACACTAATATATGACACATTTAAAGTTCAACCTGTAATACAAAATTTCCATGACAGTATTCTTTATAGTCATTTGAGCCAATGGATTTGCAGATGTGTGACTTGAGTTACCTGGCCAGGGCCAGTGATTTCCACAGATCCAGATACATCTTGATGAGTGTTTTTATGGTCAAATCTAGAACAAAATTATGATCAAAGTAGGAGCATTATTCATAGGATGGCAATGATAGCATGGTTCCTAAGTGACAGAATTATTTTTATACATATGCAGGCAATGCTTTACCTTTGTATCAGTAATTTACCAAAAATGCATTAGCTGGAAAGTGTAACTAGAGGCAGGTTTCTTTAAGTGTTCCCAGCCATACATGCAGTACATTTCCCCCTGTCTCTACAGAATTAGTTATTACTTTATATGGTAGGATTAAACATAAATACTAATTAATGGTGTCTTGGTGTCCCACAGATAAAGGGGGGTTATACATTAAAAAAACGATGAAGCAGTGCAAACCACAAAACATTATAAGACTATGCAAATATTTAGAACCAGGGGCGGACTGACCATTTGGAAACTCGGGCACTGCCTGAGGGCCTGGGGTCAGTAGGGGGCCCCATGAGATTCCCCTGGTACCTTTTTCATAGGCTTTTTTGACTTTGGGCAAGGACACAGGGGCCCCATGATCCCCTATTGAACTATTAGAACTCTCTCAAAGAGAAAGATGTGAGGGTTGCTGCCTATTTACATGGCACTGGGAATGTTATCAGAGATCTGTTGGACTGCTGGCAATGAAAGACTGGAAAGACTATTGCTATGAGACCTGCATCTTGGAATCATAACATAACACATCATTTCACATGGAGAAGAATCTGATCAGAGAAACCCACCTGACTGTGAATCTGTTGGATCTGGTTGTAAGGACAGCTCTACAAAAAGCATCAGTTGTGGGGATAATGATGCTGTTTAGGAATGGACTGGCCAGCAATTGGTGGGACTCACCTGCCTTTTGATCTGCAGTACCAGGGCTGGCCAGCGGGTGCTCCCAGCAATCAGAGACTCAACCTTTCAGCCAGCTAACACCTGGAACTGATGATGCTGGGGTATTTAAGGGATGGCCAGACCCACAGACTCTGCTTTGGTGTTGTGTTTGTCCTGGGCCCTGTATCTGTCCTGCATCCTGTTTCTGTCCCTCTGCCTGACCCTCTGTACTACGTGCTTGTTACCTGTTTTGATCTCTGGCTTGTGACCCTGACCATCCCTCTGCCTGACCCTTTGTACTACGCTGCTTGCTACCTGCTGAACCTGGCCTGTGACCCCGACCATTCTCTGCTTGCTCCCCCTGTACCTACCTGCCCAATTGATATTGACCCGGCCTGCCTGACGACGCTTGCTTGTATGTACTGTTATCTGTGGGTGGTTTGGTTTGGTTTGTTTGCACTGTATTATGTTTAGTATTGCACTGCGTTTATGTTTGTATGGTTAGTGTTAATAAATTGTATTGTTATCACATATCTGAAGTCTGCGTTTCCCTGCATCAGTCACACATCTCTGGTCATACCTGGGAGCCCTGACAGATGCTGTATAGCGTTCCTAGCTAGCAATGATTCTTCTGTGTCTCCCAGATGGTTTATTCTCTATTACAATTATATGCTTGCAGGGTCAGTTCTTAGGTTTGTCCCTTTTACAGCCAGGCCCTGAAAACCACTTTTAATGTCAGGTTACCAGACCATTTTTTCAGTATTTCTCTTTTATTATTTTTCACTTGCAGCATTCAGAGTCTGTAAAAAAACACTTAAAGCATACATTTTCTGAAATCATGGACCAGAGGCATAAAAAGACAATGCTACTGATTTTGTAGGAAATGTTTAGTTGAACAAATGTTCATCAAACTGGATATTTTTCATAAAAAAAACACTCTAAAATCATTAGTAATGGACACAAATACAACAAAACTTACAGAATACTCACTAAATCTAAGCATTAAAACAATTAATAAATAACAAATATTTGTATATTTTATTGTGCCTCTTTTCAAAATTGATAACATTGAACGTATACAAAACTATAAGTAAGCAACTAATGCTATAAATCTGGAGGTTGTCTTCACACCTATACATTGTGGTAATACCAGTCCACAGTCCATGTGTCCAATGCGGTGTGAAAGGTATTACAACACATTGATGCATATAGTGTTAAATGAATGCAGCTTAAACTAATAAAAAAAAAACGTGCACAACATAGCAGTGTCTTCATTACTTGAATCCTAAAGTGCACCCACTAGTGTGAATGGGACCTTAGTGTGTCTGTTCTAGGGCATCCAGTTTACAAGCAGTTTACAAGCCTGCACCCACCTGTAACTGGATTCTCCCCACTGGATGTCAGCTGCTTCTCCCCTGCACGGTCCGCTTTCTCCCCTACTTCAGGGGATGAGGATCCCAGGGCACAGTGGGGAGATCAGGCTGTGAAGGGACACAGAATTAAGTACAGTATTTTGCCAGCACCCAATGGGGAAGATCTATGTTGGCAGAGTGGCTGGTTTAAGAGGTAGTAGCAGAGAAATATAATCACTTATTGAATGAATGCTACAATCAGAAGTTTTTTAGCCTCTGATCATAGCAATTTATTTAATCAGGACAGTGAGAAGAACTGTTTGGATCATGGCCATAGATATTTTTTTTCCTTGGTGGGTTCAGCCTTGGGCACACAGAGAACAAAAATTTCACAGCACACCTTCCACGCTGTGGGAAACTGTGGGTGTGGCAAATTGCACTGACAGTGGGAGAGGCTTAAAACATGACCCTACTCACTGTGTACACAGTAACATATGGCCTCGTCCTTGTACTAAAAAAATGTGCTTTAAAAACTGTGCTGCAATCATGAGTCTAACAAATATATACAAACATCAGCACATTGATTTGTAAAATATGAAACTCTACCATTACATATGATTTTCTGCACAAAGCCTACCGTAAAGAAGAACTTAATTAACAATGACCACTGAGCAACCACCATCTGTACAATATAGCATAAATAGTGCAAGACTCAGTAGCATGTCATATACAGGTGAAACTCCAAAAATTAGAATATCGTGCAAAAGTTTATTTATTTCAGTAATGCAACTTAAAAGGTGAAACTAATATATGAGATAGACTCATTACATGCAAAGCAAGATAGTTCAAGCCGTGATTTGTCATAATTGTGATGATTATGGCTTACAGCTCATGAAAACCCCAAATCCACAATCTCAGAAAATTAGAATATTACATGTAATCAAAAAAAACAAGGATTGTACATAGAACAATATCGGACCTCTGAAAAGTATAAGAATGCATATGTACACAGTACTTGGTTTGGGCCCCTTTTGCAGCAATTGCTGCCTCAATGCAGCGTGGCATGGAAGCTATCACCCTGTGGCACTGCTGAGGTGTTATGGAAGAAAAGGATGCTTCAATAGTGCCCTTCAGCTCTTCTGCATTGTTCAGTCTCATGTCTCTCATCTTTCTCTTGGCAATGCCCCATAGATTCTCTATGGGGTTCAGGTCAGGTGAGTTTGCTGGCCAATCAAGCACAGTAATCCCACGGTCATTGAACCAGGTTTTGGTGCTTCTGGCAGTGTGGGCAGGTGCCAAGTCCTGCTGGAAAATGAATTCAGCATCCCCACAAAGCTGGTTTGTGGAATGAAGCATGAAGTGCTCCTAAATCACCTGGTAGATGGCTGCGTTGACCCTGGACTTAATGAAGCACAGTGGACCAACACCAGCAGATGACATGGCTCCCCAAATCAACACAGACTGTGGAAACTTCACACTGGACTTCAAGCATCTTGCAGTGTGTGCCTCTCCATTCTTCCTCCATACTCTGGGTACTTGGTTTTAAAATGAGATGCAAAAGTTGCTCTCATCAGAAAAGAGGACTTTGGACCACTGAGTAACAGATCAGGTCTGTTTTTCTTTAGCCCAGGTAAGACGCTTCTGACGTTGTTTGTTGTTCAGGAGTGGCTTGACAAGAGGAATACGACATTTGAAGCCCATGTTCAGGATCCATCAGTGTGTGGTGGCTCTTGATGCACTGACTCCAGCCTCAGTCCACTCCTTGTGAAAGTCCCCAACACTTTTGAATTGACTTTTCCTGACAATCCTCTCCAGGCTGCGGTCATCCCTGCTGCTTGTGCACCTTTTTATTCCACACTTTTCCATTCCACACAAATTTCTATTAATGTTTTTGATACAGCACTTTGGGAACATCCAACTTCTTTTGCAATTACCTTTTGAGGCTTTCCCTCCTTATGGAGGGTGTCAATGATGGTTTTCTGCACAACTGTCAGGTCAGCAGTCTTTCCCATGATTGTGATTCCTACTGAACCACTGAGAGACCATTTAAAGGCTCAGGAACCCTTTGCAGGTGTTATGGCTGAACAATGCAGAAGAGCTGAAGGGCGCTATTAAAGCATCCTGGTCTTCCATAACACCTCAGCAGTGCCACAGGGTGATAGCTTCCATGCCACGCCGCATTGAGGCAGTAATTGCTGCAAAAAGGAGCCCAAACCAAGTACTGAGTACATATGCATGCTTATACTTTTCAGAGGTCCGATATTGTTCTATGTACAATCCTTGTTTTTTTGATTGCATGTAATATTCTAATTTTCTGAGATTGTGAATTTGGGGTTTTCATGAGCTGTAAGCCATAATCATCACAATTATGACAAATCACGGCTTGAACTATCTTGCTTTGCATGTAATGAGTCTATCTCATATATTAGTTTCACCTTTTAAGTTGCATTACTGAAATAAATGAACTTTTGCACAATATTCAAATTTTTTGAGTTTCACCTGTATAGCCTCCATGGGTGTGACAGGAGGGGGCATGTGAAAGGAGGGGAGCAGGGTGACAGGAGGGATGCCATGAAAGGAGGGAACTCTGTGACAGAAGGGGGCAAGGTAAGAGGAGGAAAGAAGGGTGACAGAAGGGGGTGCTGTGAGAAGAGAGGAGCAGGGTGACAGGAGGTGGGCTTTTTGAGAGGTGGGCAGCACTGTGAGAGGTGGGGAGCAGAGTGACAGAAGGGGGGCATGGTGACAGGTGAAGAGGGTAGGGTGACAGGAGGGGGGCAGGGTGAGAATGTGACAGGTGGGGAGCAGGGTGACAGGTGGGGGGGCACTGTAAGAGGATGGGAGCAGGGTGACAAGAGGTGGTCTGTGTGAGAGATCCGGGGACACTGTGAGAGGTGAGGAGCAGGGTGAAAGAAGGGGGGCATGGTGACAGGTGGAGGGAGTAGGGTGACAAGTGTGGGGCAGGGTGAGAAAAAGGGGGCACTGTGAGAGGACGGGGGTGCTGTGAGAGGAGGGGTTGCTGTGAGAACAGGTGGACACTGCGAGGGGGGAAGTGCTGTGAGAGGTGGAGGCACCATGACAGGAATGAAGCATTGTGAGAGGAGGGGGACACTGAGAGAGAAGGGGACGCCGCGACATGAGGTGAGAGGAGGAGGAGGACACCTGGACACATAATAAAGTCGCTCAGCTGCTGGGCACTGTGTATTCCTCCAGAGCCAGGAATCTTCTGTAACAGTCCTTTTTTTTTTAATTAATAATTTTTAGTAGTAAATGACAGTAACAATAAAATTACATGAAAATGTGGATTCACCAACCAAATAAGATAAAGACAACAACAGTGGTACATTCAAAAAGTAAATACTGAGCAATCTGTACATAGAGAGAACAACTTACAGTACATGCCTCAAATATAGTGTCTGCGAAGTCAAAACTAAGTGGTCAGGAAAGAGGGAAGTCCACTGCGAAACTAACTCTTAAGGTCTGAGCATACCAGATTTTTCTTTTTACATTATAGTAAAGAAAAGGAAGAGAAAAAGAAGGAAAAAGAGAGAGAAGAAAAAAAAAAGGAGGGGTTTCAAGGCAAGGCTAGGTCATCGGGGAGCAGGGAACCGTGCCATCCTATATGGCCCTTGGTTCAAGCATGAAGAGCGAGTAACAGTCCTTTTAAAGGTTTATGAAACAGTCCCCTTTACAATAAATGATTCAATTTCTTTATTCTGGCTTGCATAAACACGAACATGACCAAACACCACTGTGACTGCAAATTGGATACTTACCAGATCATCTGACTCCTTAATTATAGGAGGTCAGCATATGCTTTATTATTAGACTTCAGGTCCAAATTCATGTACCACAAGCCAGACCACATTGATCCTCAATCTCCCCACAGACCGTCCCGATCACACAGTAGTTATACAATCATGTGAAGATAGAAAAAGCTCTTCTCATAGTGCAGATTGTAAACAAACAATTTATTAAGAAAAGAAGCTCATTTATGATGAGATAAAAAAAAATTCTCAGCATTGAGTAATACCACCAAAAGGCAAAGATCAGCATATATAATA